TTTATCTGGAAAAATTATTGTTATCGCAAACAAAAAAATATTAATGCAATATTCACTCGCAAAAAATATTATTCCTACAATCAAAAATATGTTCCGGCTTTAAATAGACGTTCAAAATAAGGAGCCATTTTGAGAGTGAAACTGTTCATTGCGACTGGAGAAACTTCTGGGTTTGCTAAGAACTTATTAAATGATACTAGCTTAGCGTTAATGGTACTGGATTTTACAAGATAGTTTTTTGCCAGTGTCTCGATTACAAAATGTTTCGGCTTTAAATAACACATAATAGGTAGCCATAAAAAAAGAAATTAATCAATGTATACATTTGGGATACAGAGAAAATGAGCGTGAGTCAACTCTATAGAAATAGAATGGCATGTTTTAGCAGTACAGGTCTGCAGAGATTAAACTAAAGATTGAAGTTCATCCTATATATATATATATATATATATATATATATATATATATATATATATACTTGTGTATTTAGGCAGAAAATTCTCTTTTAGGCATATCTGATTAAAGAAATTACAGACATTATGTTGCTAATTTTGACAAAAATCAGTTCAAACTCACGAATAACCTTCCGTGTATTAATGTTATATATATATATATATATATATATATATATATATATATATATATATATATATATATATATAGATAGATAGATAGATAGATATTGTCGGAGATACATTCTCCTTACGGACATTTGAATTGGTATAACATTATTTACTTTAATCTGCCTTTTCACAAGGCCACATTTAAATTGACAGGTGTTATTGTTCCGGTGGGATGCTGGATTATATAATTTAAAATTTGTGTATTTAGGCAGCAAATTCTCTTTTAGGCATGTCTGATTAAATAAATTAAAAATATATATAACATCAATACACGGAAGGTTATTCGTGAGAAGGAACGGATTTTGTTAAAAATTAGCAGATATAATGTCTGTAATTTATTTAATCAAACACACATATATATATATATATATATATATATATATATATATATATATATATATATATATATATATATATCGAGGTCAAAATATTATGAAGTGGAAATGCTGACATTCAATGGGATATCCGCACAGACGGGCGCACGAGCTTGATGGCACATCCGCACAGACGGGCGAATGACTGCACGCGCACAAATGTACACACGAACACAAAAATACGGAAAAAAACTTACACCAATGATAAGTGTATAAAAAGAAAAAAAAAGAAAAATATAAGCACTAAATTGCTGAAACCTCCTGAAGAGTGGACGGACAAGTCCGCCTACGAAAGTCTGAAGTCAAGATGCTCAAGGTAACATCAAACAGCTAAGTGACAAACTTTTACTCATATTAGCAGCAAAATTGGACTGTCATAGCTGAAACCCTCTCTAACCCGTGCCAAATGTTTTATGAATCAAGTTGGATTTTTTCTAATTGATCTCTTTAGCTCTAAGTTGAAATAGTGATCCCTCTTCCTGTTGTGACCTATCCACCGTTTTTTATGGGTCTTGAATGGACTTAAATGATGGAAGCCAGAATATGAATTTTGGTACCCTTGCTGAAGGCCTGAATGATCTTTTTCCCTACCATTGCTCAGTTGAGAAGACAGTGGGTGCGACATAAAACAATTGTAACCTCTCTTTTTAGCTGAACAAATCATGGAGTTTTTCAGTAATTCTTACGACAAATGTTGTCAAGATGGCTAAACGTGTTATCTGAAAATCTGGAAAAAAGAAACTCAATCAGTGTTTTTTTTAGATATTAAACATTTTGTGGGATGAATAATTATGCTGTTACACGATTTGGACAATGTTTCTGTTACATCCGGTATATATATATATATATATATATATATATATATATATATATATATATATATATATATATATAAAAAGGTTATAGTTATTCCAACCAGAGGAAAATGTATATTTTTTTAAAAAGAGAGAATTGTTTTAGTGTATATATTATATTTTATATATATTTTATATATTATTTTACATATAAATGTGTATGTGTGTCTATGTATATAAAGGCAGTTAAAACTAAATTCTATTGAAAAAATATTTAAAAAACTGAGGCAACTCAGTTGTGATTCTACAGAACAATGTTTAGGATATCATAAAGAGAACACGTAGAAAATGAGGAGTTGAAATGGAAAATAAGAACAGAAAAGAAAATGTTGATAAAAAAAGGTGATAAAATGACATTAGAAATTTTAGAGACATTTCACACGTCAAAAGCAAGAAAAGCAGAAAGATTGAGTAAGCTAAATGACAGAGATTCTGTCTTAAATTCCTTAAAAATTACCATATAAGAGAATTTATATATCTCTCATTTTTCTAACATCCCCCTGTCCCTATTGACTTTAATCTGTTCTGTGAGCATCAAAATTAACAAACCCCTTTCCTCACTATGCGCCCCAGAAATTTAAACTGTCTATTCTTGATGCTAAGTTTGTATTTTTTGCTTCCATTTCTCTAAAACTTCGTCGTTGCTCGCATGTTCGGTCCATGGTATTCTCAGCATCCTCCTGTAGAAGCACATTTCTGTCGCTACATGTCTCTTCTTCATCCGTGAGAAGATTGTCCAGCATTCACTACCATATAGGATGACTGATATTGCGTAACAGTTCAGTTCTCTTTTCTTTGTTTCTAACAAAAGAGGTCATTTTCAAAACTGATAACAAAGTTAACCTCGTAAATCGTACGAACGTCCTGAACAAATCAATACTGAGATTCTATATTTTTATCATTGACAGGATTTACCAATTGTCTCTTTAAAAAGAAACAATTGGCAAAACATTATACGCGCCATATTGACTAAATTGACTTCACAATCTAAGTTTAAACATGCATGAAATTAGAAGAAATAATTTTGTCTTTATTTTCTTCTGAAAAAATTCGTGGAAAATTAATTCATTCTATCCCGTGTCTTAAAAAGCATTTCCTAATCATTTTTGAACAGATAACCTTCCGTGTTATGTGTCTACCTACGAGGCACATCTATCACACTCACCGTTATATCGATTTTCTCCACCTGTACTTACACTTTCTACATTGCTTAACTAGCAAAGCACGCGGCTACGAGTGATAGAGAACACCTGTAAAAGAATTAATCATTCAAAGATTCTCCCGCCAAAAAAAAAAAGGAAAATAAACACGGGTAACAAAAACAAAAAAGAAAGCAATAAAACAGGTGTCAACGGAACAACTCTAATAATACTACTCAGGAATTTACCGTAGCGAATTGAAGAAAAACGAGATGTGTCGGCGACACAGAAAATTAGGAAAACTCTCGGGGATTGAAAATAGAGGAAATACAAACAGGTTTATGAGATGGAAGTATTTTTCTGTAGTTTCTCGTAAAATTTGTTATCGTTTTGAAGCTGTTTTCTCGTCTATTCTGTTTTAATAACTTTATATCGTTGATAATTGGATTCTTGTATTTATGAGTTAAGGTGCCATTGCTAACAGGTTGAACTTTCTCTGTTACGCTTTTTGTCAATAGAGTCTTATAAAATTAAGAGGATTGTGGACTAAATGCCGTCTTACAAAAGTAATAACTTTCAATCTGAATAAATCTCATGCTAATGAATTAGTAAAACAAATGGTAAAATAAGAAGCATAAGACGGCTTTTTATGTAAACATCTGGTCGACACGTACTATCATGTCCTATAAGTATGGCTGCGACTACTGCGATGAGAAGAAGAGAAAGGCTAAAGAAAGGGGGAGAGGGGGAAGGAAAGGGGGAGAGAGAATGGAAAGAAGAAATAAAAGAAATAATGAAAGAGAAAATTTTTAAGAGCGACTTTGCAAATCTAACAAAAGCCATTTCAAGAATTTTTCAGACGATTTTACACATTTCTTTGGATGATTAGTTTAACAGCAGCCGATATATTCTATCGCCTTCTCCGGGTATATAATTCATAAAGAAGAAGAGGAGGTGTTTTTCGCCATAAACTCCACGACTCTGGGGATTTAAGACAAAATATTAATAGATAAATATAGGATATATCAAATAATAGAATATATTAGAAGAATATATCAAATAATAGAAAGGAGTAATAAAATATTAATAGTAAATAATAGCGAATATTACACATAGAAGAGAATAAAATATATTAGAGGAAATATAAAAAAAATAATAGGATAGAATATATAGAATCTAAGGTAATATAATAAAAGAGAGGTTTTGTTAATCGTCTGCTTCACACTTCTCTCCAATTTTTAAATAAGAATAGCGGTTTATCTTTTGTTTCCTGTTTAAGATTAGGTTTCCAGTTCCTTCTAAAGTTTTGTCGTTCTCTTTAACATCCAGTTGCCCGTTGCGTCTTAGTGGCATTATCTCCTTGCCTGGGGCGAATTAATTAAAAAAAAGAAGATAGCAAATGATAGAAGACAATAATAGAATATTAATAGTAAAAAAAAAATAGAATAACATAGAATATATAAAATCGAGTACAATATAATAAAAGAAAATATAATATACAGAATAGAATAACATACAAATGATAAAAGACAATAACAGATTTTTGAAATCATTTCAACCCAAGAAAGGCTTTAATAGTAAATAATAGGATAAAACAGATTATAATTGAATAGAAAAAGTTAGAGAATAGAATAATGTATCAAATGGTAGACGGAAATATCGTTGTAGTGTGAGAAAATTGAAAGAAGTGATAGATATTAATCAATGAACACGTTAATAAATCCTGCCTTTATAGAGCTCAGTACCGTGTGGATTTTGCTCAGTAGGAAGAGAATTGGTGAACATTCCCGAATTAAAATAGGACAGCAATAATATATATATATATATATATATATATATATATATATATATATATATATATATATATATATATATAAAGAGGAAAATATGACAAACTGGAAAGTTTTTGTGACATATTTCAACGGTTAGGATTTCATCGAACTGGGTTTTGATGACGTTGCCCAGTATTTTTTAAATACTGTTTGTTGATATATAAAATTATACAGAATTATATATCGTCATATCATATCATATGATATATATATATATATATATATATATATATATATATATGTGTGTGTGTGTGTGTGTGTGTGTGTGTGTGTGTGTGTGCGTGACTTGAAGAAGGCAAAAGCAACAGACATTCGACGAAACTCGTCGATTATAGCTTTTTCCACTTTGTCTCATTTCATATATATATATATATATATATATATATATATATATATATATATATATATATATATATATATATATATATATATAATATGTGTGTGTGGCATCCGTCAGTTTCAAGAAACCTTGGATCTACAACCGAAGACTTATGCCTCAGCTGCTGATGGCGGTGCGCATCTCCTATGGCTATACAGGCCAACGCGTGGCTGATAGTCTCGACTGCAGTGAATGCATGTGACGACGCTCACTCCCGATGTCGCCTCGCTGTTTTCTTTCAAGCCTTCGTTTCTCCTCTCCTCGTTCCAGTTCTCGGATTAAATCGCGACCCCAGCGTAAGCGAGCGTGAACAATCGTTGGAGAAATCTTCCCACCTCTCAATGTCCATGTCCATACCACTCACGTGCCTTTTGCAGACGTTCTTGACACGAAAATAATGTTGCCCTCATGCCCTATTTCCGGTGGCCAGTTTCCCGCACAGAAAACCTTCGGAATCCTCCCACCTGGAATACATTGTAAATTTTCAAACCAGCCGAGACGGCGCTGTTGGTGAAGGCTGTATAGGATATATATATATATATATATATATATATATATATATATATATATATATATATATATATATATATATATATTCCCAGTGCTTGAAAGTGGTAGCGTTCTCTGCTAACCAGTGACCCTCTAACAAAGTTTAAGTTTTAAACATATGCTAAGCAGAAAAAAAAGTGAACTAGAATCAAGGTTTGCTTTTGCTTGTACCAGCGTCCATTTCACTATACCTGCAAAAGATCGAGATTTAAGTTTTATTCTTGGTTTTATTAGCATACGAATTATTGAATTCAAAGTTGTCGTTGTCCTAGACTGGTTGCCAACGAGGCCTGTCTGCTCGGGTATATAATCCATACCTCAGTATCCTTCATTATCAGAGAGCTGAAAATGTCTTTTGTAACTCACAATCCTGCAGTCACCGTGATCTGAATGTCAGAAGATATCTTTCGATGCAATGTAACTCAGTGAATGTTAATCACGTCACCTCTAAGTTATAATAGGTGTAGATAGTTTCACCTATCGTTCGATTTGGCAGTCTTATGAACAGGGATAGAAGTTTATCCCTTGTTTCCTTTTTAGTATTGGGTTTCCGCTTCCTTCTAAATTCTACTTCAACTCTATACATCTAAGATCTCTATTCGTCCTAGGTATGAAATAAACTACATCTGGCAGCAAGGTCTCTGATCAAAAGTTTTTAAGGAGCTTGGAAACACCACTTAGTTGCTGTTGTTCCAAGTGCACCCAGACAAAGGGTGGTTCCACATGTTAAGGTCGCAGCTATGGGTGAACACCCAAAGTGGGGTCAAAACATGAAAATATAAAAATACATTAGAAAAAATTACCAGTAATACATTTTCATAGTAATTTTTTTTAATTATCAGCAAATATACTTTTTTTAAAAATAAAACATTACCAAAGCTCACAAGAAAATTAAATTTCGGCATCAATTGAACCATAGAATTTATATGCCATTAAACAAACTAAACCGACCCAAACTAAGAACTCTACATAAACTCTGAAAATTTTTATTATTATTGGGTTTCCGGTTCATTCTAAAGTGTTTTCCCTCTCTTTCGCTTCTAGTAGTTCCTTGTGTCATAGTTGCGTTAACGCCTTGCTTGGGGTGAATTGATTTAAAAAAATCAATTACACATGCCTACATTTTACGCACTTTAATGTCAGACATCATTTTGTAATATTGATACTACGTATAACGGGGTAAAACATTATAGGTTAATGTTTGGAAGGTGCAACCTCTACTATTATCTCTTCGAAATCAATCTCTGACGTCGTAGTGAATATAATAAAATAGGAGTCCTAACTTTATGTATCGTCCATAATTATGTTTCCGGTTTCTTCTAAAATCTTCAACTCTGTACGACTAACGTCTCCGCCTAAACTCTGACATTTTTTACTATCTATTTATTTACTTTTCTTCCACAATAGCAGTAGATACGTTCACCTATCGCCTGGTTCAATCTCTCCCCGGCTTTTAAACAGAATTAAAAGTTTATCATTTGTTTCCTGTTTAGAATTGGGTTTCCGGTTCCTTCTAAAGTCTACTTCAACTCTGTACTCCTAACGTCTCGGCCTAAACTCTGAAATTTATACTATTATTGGGTTTGATAGTTCTTTCTAAAGTATTTTCCTTCTCTTTCACTTCCATTAGCTCCTTGCGTCTTAGTGGCGTTATTGCCTTGCTTGCGATGAACTGATTAAAAAATCATCATCTTTTAATTAAAACTGGCCTGTCAACTTTGTGAGAATCGCATTGACTCATATTTCACTCTTTACATCTAAAGAGCAACAAACAATAACTACGATTCCATTGAATACATGTTAATAGTTTAAGTGATACAAATATATCGAATACATGCCAGTAGTTTCAAATATAAAAGTTGTCAGAAGCAGTATTGATTAATCAGTTTTGTTTTCTTTGTTCCCGTGATGAAATAAATCTCGTTTTGAAATCTCGTTTTGAAATCTGAAAATCCCACGGTATTTTCCAATTCTCCTTTTCAAAAGAAATTTTATTACATTTGTACATTTCATCTGATGTTGTCGTTTTTGCTTTTTGTTTTTAATGTTATTTGAAGAGTAAATATTTACCACTTTTCTGTTTACTGTTCAGCGCGTGTTTTCGTTTTACTAATTTATTTTTTTAGATAACGAGGCCATTTTTTTAATTGTTGCTAATTCCAGAACATCAATTGCAAGAATACTGAGTGGTTGTTAGCAAAAGGGGCAGTCCAACATGCAGATTACAGACTGGAGATACCGAAATCAAACAGTTGCAACAGGGTAGATAGTTTGGAAGCATATTATCTGAGGACGGAAAGTGCGATACGGAAATTCGAAGGCGCGTTGGGATAGCGAAAGATGACTTTCAAAAGCTGAGCATAGTATTAAGAAACATAAAAATGTCATTAGAAGCAAAAAAAAAGAGTACTGAACTGTTATGTAATATCAGCCTTCCGACATGCCAGTGAATGCTGGACAATCTGGTCACAGATGATAAAGAGACTTGAAACAACAGAAGTGTAGTTTTACAGAAGGAGGCTGCTCGAGGCGGTGTAATGGTTAGCAAGCTTGTCTCGCTAGAACAATTACGACTGAGTAGTGAGTTCGATTCTCACTGGGTGCCCCATACATTCGGCCTTGTGCCACATCTGAGCTACGCTTGGAAAATCTCTACAGAGGGAGGCTGAAAATTCCATAGACCAAACATGTGAGCAAGGACGAGGTTTTTGAGAAAATGGAAGCAAAAAAGACACTTTTATTCAACACCAGGAAGAGGCAGTTGATGGCGTGGAAAATTTGGATCATCACAAGACAGATTGAAGATTAGCGAGACAGAGGAAAGCAACGCGTGCTTGAGTAAATGGATGGCGGAGCAGGGTTTGGGAGAGATGGAAAAAATAGAAATGTTATTAAGATGTACAAAGGACAGGAAATTGTGGATAGAGATGATCGCCAACGTCCTGAAGAATTCCAGAATCGAGAAATATAGATTAATTGATCTTTTAATACGCTTCAGTGTCTATTATGTTGAATTCTATTGGCTTTTTCATATCATACTATCACTGTTTTCGTTTTCAAGCCGATGAGGATGAAGGATGATCTATCGATGGCTCTTCTTTTTTGTATATATATGAGTTGACATTACATTTGGGGAAAGATAGAAGGAGTGTTTTCCTGTTACCTTTCTTCTGTAACTCGTCGTGGAGGACTGCCAATATTTTTTAAACAAATCACCCCAAGCAAGGCGAGAGTGTCACGAGCACGAAAAGGGTTACAGAGAGTGAGAGTAAGAGTAAAGAGAAGTGGTTTGAAAAGGATACAGAGAAGGACAGGGATCAAGGTCAAGGTATCAGAAGATGTCGAATGACATTACATTTGAATATTAAAAGAATTTGAAAATTATAGCTATCAGGGAAGCAAGAAACAGGAAGGAACTTCCACTGATGGGAGGTGCGAGATATGAAGCTGTTGGAGTAGAAGAGATGGCTAAATTTAGTAGTTTCTACAGTAAAAGGAAAGGTCCGAGACGCCAACCTAGTAGCACGCTTAAATTAATGCAGTTTGGGAACCAGTGAAAGTAACTTTCCTTGTGGCAGATGAAGCTATAGATTCAGGTCAGTGGACAGCGTTGAGAACAAGCAGGCGCACAGAGGAGGTCTCCTGGAGTTGCGCATCGGACTTCCAGATGAGCGGCGGGGAGGGTTCCTTATGGTGGATAAATGAGAGCAGTTTTGTTTTAGATGCATTAAAGTTTACAAAGACATTCTCTGCTCCAGTCAACCACAGATTGGAGGTCGACTTTTTTCTCTCTCTCTCTCTCTCTCTCTCTCTCTCTATATATATATATATATATATATATATATATATATATATATATATATGTGTTTATATATATATATATATATATATATATACATAGAGAGATCGGAGAGCTGATTTAAAATCAAACAGCTACCAGCAGCTTTAATATATATATATATATATATATATATATATATATATATATTAAGAAAAATAGGAAAATTATATATCGTTATATCATATATATATATATATATATATATATATATATATATATATATATATGATACGATATAACGATATATAATTTTGTATAATTTTATATATCAACAAACAGTGTTTAGTAAAATATGACAAACTGGAAAGTATTTTTTGTGACGTGTTTCATCCGTTTATATATAAAATTATATATCGTTATATCATATATATATATATATATATATATATATATGTTTATACTAATGAGATAAGTAATGAGATGTGTAAGAGACCTTACTACAAGTGATGACAGATGACCACTGCAGTTATTTTTTATATTATTTTCATCCTACCATTTCTTGTTCATATTTCACTGTGTCACCGCTTATGACTCTTTGGACGAAGGTTTGATCGCACTCTTTGCTCAAGAAACTGATCACCGCAGATTATACGGTTTCATTCTCCGGAAACTTTAACTAAGACCTGCTTAGCATAGTTGCAGTATAAACCACAGTGGATTCTGTGGGTTCAGTGGGCGTCTGTAATAGAGATTTGCTTATCCGTCCTGTCAGATGGTTGTTTTGTTCTGCGTTTTTTTTTTGTTTGTTTGTATTTTTGTTTTTTTTTGGTGGGGGGGCTTTTTTGTTTTGTTTTCAATGGGGTTCTAGTCCGGGGTATGACGGAAAACTACATCCAACAGCAAGGCCCCTGATCGGGAGATTGTTAGGTTTTGAAGAACGTGGAACCCCCTCTTAATTGCTGTTGTTCCCCCGTCCTCAGTGTGGCAGCACCTATTAGGGTCGCAGCTATGGGCGAATAGTGAACTCCCAACAAAACAAAAAGTATAAAAATCCATTTTTATAGTCGACTGGCAACAATACATTTTTATAGTAAAATGACCAACAATACATTTTATCTGTAGTTGAAGCCATAAAATTGTGTTCAAAATATTTACATTTCGGTATTAAATAACCCATAAAGGTTGATATGCCCCTAAACAAAATCATCAATCAATGTCTTCCCTGCACAAGGCCTGAGAGCCACTCGACGTAGAGATTTATAGAGTATGAGGCGCAGTATATTCTGCATTTAAGAATGAATGTATTTCTAGATTTCATTTTTTAGAACACCCTCATCGCTCACGTTTTCTGTGTATCATATTCTCGGAATCAGTCTATCGAAACGTATCCCTGTTGTTTTAAATCTATTCTTTCTGTTTAATGCCATACACGAGGATAGATGTGACATAGCTGTTCACCACACTTTTCTTTGTTTCCATCAATATTTTTCTATGACTGTGACTTCCGTTAGTGCATACATCCGTCTGTCCGTCACTCTCTCTCTAAAATACCCATACATTGACCGATCGAAACCAAATTTTAGGAAAATGTGCAAACTGATAAGGGAGTACAAAGTAGAGTTGATTTTACTAAGTAGCTTTGTATAAATACATTTTCATTAATATTTTTAGAAAAAATACAAGTTTTATTCTTTAATATACAAAATTCTCACACTATTTTAAAAACAATGTAATGATTAAAATAACAAATACTTATTTAATAAAAATGCTATATTGTTTTTTGCATATCTTTTCTTTAAGTTTTTATATACAAGAATCCAGATTCCTGTTCGCTCTGTGTTTGCGAGAACATTGAGCAAATCACAATGTCAAAAACTTCAAAAAGTTGGAAACTTGGCTCAAGAAAAATATTTACGCAAGGCCAGTTGTATGTTGCACGCTCAAGGGTAAGAAATCCTAAGAATTTATTCCTCGCTGCTTAAAAGGAAAATAAGAAATTTTCTTAAAAAATATTGCTTACTACGAAGTCCTATAAAATTAAATTAAATTAAAGAAATTATTAAACCAAGAAGTAAGGTTTTTGTCAAAGTATTTTTCGAAACAAATCAGCTTATTCAAATTTTATCTATTGGTTTCCGACACTGAATGAAACGTAGAGTTTATAAATTTCCTCAAAAATATTAACGATAACAGCAACAATACTAAATACCGTGAGGATTTCAGCATATGTCAGCATGTTGCAAAAAAATTCTAGTAATACTTAATGCTTACTTTTAAAAGGCCTGTGTCGCTATTACGGATCTCTGTATGACACTTTCCAAAAACATACCATTTACGTCCCTTAGTTCATTGGCTTTATGCCTTCAACCACGCTCGATATATGAGATGGGCGCGGTATGTCCTACCAATTACTGGGTACTATTTGAGCTTGGAACGATTAAACAGTCACAGATGTGACATTCAGGCATACATCCGAACTTTACAATATGGGTGGAGGTGGACGAAAACGACCCTATTGTAGATTTAGTTCAGGAAGAGTGTTTACACGCTTTTATACACTTGTAAATTAAGTCATTCACTCATACATACACCAATAATTTCGCGTACATCCATCGGGAATGCATATTTATTTACATACTCATGCCTTCGTATGTATCCGGTTTGATTCATAAGTATGTGCTATAGGATTTACGAGACTAACTTAGCGAGGAAGTGTTTTCTTCTCTATTTTTTTTTATTCATCTAGGTTTGTAATCGAAACAGTTTCTACGCAAGAGCTACAGAAGTTTTATTTTATTTTATTTTTCTCTTTTACATATGTTTTAATAAGCATATAGCTGCTCTGAAAATAATTTTCTTCGTGGAAATTTAAAACTGTTTATTACTACGATTTGAGATTGTGGATTGCCCGAGAGGTGCCAAAATCAAGCAAGTACACAAATTTAATAATCTGAAAAGAAAATGTGACATCGATGTCCAAATCGAATAGCGAAAGTGTCTTCGAAAAGTTAACTCTTGAGAAACAGGATAATTTCGACAGAAACGAACAAAAGAGTGAACTCTTATGTAATGTCAGTCATAGTATATAGCAGTGAAAGCTGGACAATTTTCTCACAGATGAAGAAGACACTTCAGGAAACAGAAATCTGGCTTAACAGACATTGATGCATATACAGAGTGAACAAACGAACGAAAAAATGATGGATAGATTGAAAAATAGAGAGATGTGAAGAAAGAAACAAACGAACCATGATAGAAAGAAAGAAAGAAAGAAAGAAAGAAAGAAAGAAAGAATGAACGACAAAGCGGAACGATAGAAAGAAGGAATTAAATAAATAATCTAAGATAGATAGATAGATAGATAGATAGAAAGAAAGAATATCATGAAAGGAAATATATGTTTTAAGCTGACCGCCATTTCTTAAATGACAGGCTTCCGCAGACAAAAAAAAAGATATAGAAGTAAAAGAAACTAAGTTTACTCTTTTCACACTTGACATGCCGTTGGCCGGATAAAGTCCGATCTCCTGAGACAAGTTAAGGCGACTAATAAGAATCACAATTGTTTGATCTATTTGAAGGTAAGAAAGTAGAAAGCGGCTTGCCTTTGACCTGGACTCCCTTGAAATTATGAAACAGGCGATGACACTCATCGACAGCAAATGAGTGGCGCGCGTGTACAGGTCTACTGCAGCTGGACGCTGTCATGGCGATGCTTGAGACGCGCTAAAGAGAGGCGAAGAACAAAAAGATAGAGAAAATAACAGCGTGTCATGCTAATGTTCTTGCGTATGCCGTGGCTTGTCGATAGACAGTTTCCGAGTGTTGTTGTTGTTGTTATTGTTTCTTCTTCTTCTTCTTCTTCTTCTTCTTCTTCTTCTTTTTTGCTCTCTCTTTCTCTCCTTTTATCGTTCTCCTGACACGAACCTACGCACATGCGTACACGTCCCCATACACAGACCAAAGAAAGAGAAATAAAAATAGTCGATGAAGCTTTCTTACATGCAGAGGGGACAGGTGAAAAATTAACCACCCTGACACAACCCATCGTTTCAAAAAAAAAAAGTGAACAACAGGTGTGGACAGATTCAAACTTCTTTTTTTCTGTGTCTATTGCTTATTTTTCTCTTGGAAGATTTGTTTAAAACTTCTAATGCCTTATATTGTTCAGGTGAATAAAAATGTTCATTATTTCCTATTTCGCACAGGTGTAAAAATGATTGCCCCTTTGAAGTAAGTTAAATTTCCAAGCAGAAAACAAAAATGGCTGACCAGTCGCACAAAAATATGAAATGTTTATTAGTTTCTTTTTTGATTGATTCATTGAAAAATTCAGTTGATTACTGTGTTTCCGAGTGATGACAAGAACACCTTATATAGACAATCACCAGACGTGGAAAGGTTGTCCGGAACCCTGACTTAGTAAAACTTTAACTGTTTTATCCACAGCTCACACCCATAAATAACAAAGACTCGTTTTAGTCACAATTGACGCTCTGCTAAGAAAATTGGTTTACTGTGTTGGGCGAGACGATTTTCTCTCTAAAATCTATCTTACATATCTATAAGTTTACCATTCGCTCATGCTTAGAATATTGCTGCCACATATAGTCTACTACCCCTGCTATTTACCTTGAGCTCCTTGATAAAATCCAGAATAGAATTAGCAATATTATTAGTCCTGATCTGACGGCTCGGCTTTAGTCACTTTCCCATCGTCGTAAGATAGCCTTTCTGAGTCTTTTCTCTGATGAGCTCTTCGCTATGGTATCTATACCTTTTCAACTTCAAAATGATAATAATCAACTCCAAAATAGACTTATTTTCAGGTAAAAAATTAATCAACTCCAAAATGGATTAATCAACTTCAAAATGGATTAATCAACTTCAAAATGGATTAATCAACTTCAAAATAAATTAATATAATACTAATAAATTTAATATTTATTCTTTTATTTTTACTTAAAAGGGATATAAAAAAATATAAACGTTCCTAAAAAATTTATTTAAAAGATTACATCATCTAATTTAATTACAGAGAGAAGTAATCCCCGTATTCCAGATACGAAGTTAGTGCAAGTCTCAGGGGAAATATTATTAATTGCCTCGGAGATCATCGCTTCTAACTTGCTGAGGCGGAATTCTTTAATAGTTAAAGATCCCTGGCCATCACCTCTTAAAATCCCAACAATTGAGTCTGACCAAACCTTTTCAATGGGATTTAACATCGGACTATAGGGGGCAAGTCTGAAAATTTGGTGTTGCCTAAATTCATCCTCCTCCACAACTTCTTCAATTGAAGTATGACAAGGAGCGTTATCAATAACTAAGACAACTCCCCTTTCACAAATTTCATTTGCTTTTCTAAGGCACTCCCTGGTCCATTCTATCGCATCCTCTTTTTTGAAGGAACCTCTTTTAATTTTATGATGAATTAATCCATTATTACTAATACATCCAATATTTCAATTTACCAAAAAAAAAATATCTCAATTTGAAGTTGTTTATTCCAAATTGAAGTTGTTTATTCTCATTTTGAAGTTGATTGTTTTTAGTTTTTTGACATTTTCTCAATTTGAAGTTGATTAATCGATTTTGAAGTTGATTGTTCCATTTTGAAGTTGATTGATCCAATTTGAAGTTGATTAATCCATTTTGAAGTTGATTGATCCATTTTGAAGTTGATTAATCCATTTTGAAGTTGATTAATCCATTTTGGAGTTGATTAATTTTTTTACTTGAAAATAAGTCCATTTTGAAGTTGATTATTATCATTTTGAAGTTGAAAAGGTATAGACTTTTTTTTTAATTTTAAGAGCAGTACTTTTCTGGTGTTTGAATCTAATCATTTTACAATTTAGCTGGCTAGATCTAACCATAAGTTCCATGCTAACAGTTTCTTTTCTTGCTCTTCATGCTTGTGGCACTCCCATCGGCTCCATGTTTTCCAGCCAACTTTAATCTGTAAAACTTTAAATGCAATGTCTATCGCTACCTACTGTCCACCTGATTAGTATTTTCTATTCCCGCTCATTAGTAATGCACCTGTTCCTAATTCTTCTACACTCTGTAATCCCTTGTGTCTTAGTGGCTTTACTACTTTGTATAGGGTGATACCGATTAAAAAATAAAAAAAATAAAAAACGTAAAGGGTATTGCTATGCCACAGGTCACACTTAAAGGTCGTCTGAAGTTATTAGGCAAATCACATAAACCTCAATAGCTCGGATTTGCTTTGAAATTATTTGTCAGCCTTTAAACAATTAATTTAGACGTCAAACCAAAGCTTGAGTTAAATGTTTAGGTTGTTTCAACATGTTTTATAAAAGTGGTTGGATTTATTATAAAAACTGCAAGCTGAATTTATACAATATCAGAAACTCCCCTTTTACTTCACTAACAATGTAATAAAATCATCAACAATCAACACCTATTATCAAACAAATAACAAATATATTTAAGTTATCGAAAAAATTACATCTTAATATAGTGACCCTTCTTCTCAATAACAGCGAGAAATCAATTATCCATTGATTTTGTTAATTTTTTTCTACTTCAAAACATTCATTTTCCGACATGGTGGTTTTAATTATTTCCCATAGGTCTGCTGTCTGCTTTGCTGTCATATTCTTTGCTACCTTCAAATAATTTCATCTTCACAATTAGCCATAGGTTTTCGATCGGATTCAGATCAAGATTTGATGATGACCATTCCATTATCTTCTCTCCTGTAAATCTTTTATGCTCAAATAATTCACGGGTAATCATAAATACATGAGAAGGAACATTGTCGTTCATAATACACAATCCACTTTGAAACTGCGAGACTGGGACTTGTACCAATAAAATCTTGTTTATAAAATTTCAATAGTTAACACTGTTCAGTTTAACTGCTTTATCGACTTAGAATTGTCCAATAATAGTTTGGTCGACAATTCCAGTCAATATCGTAACACTACCGCCTCCTTTTTGTCTTCTTTAGGCACATCCGAATTGGATAAAATCCATCCTTTGGCCCATCCATCAGGTGCAATAAATATCACTCGAGATTCGTCCGTGAAAATTACTTTAGAAAAGTCAATTTTTATATATTTCTTTCTTCAATTTTAACGCTTTAAAATATTTGTTTTACTGAGAGGAGTTTGTCTGAGATTCCTTGACAGATTCCAATTTTTGTTCTTGATTCCCTCAATTCCAGCCTGAGCAAATGTGTCCATAGTGAAGTAAAAAATGATTTTCTGGTTTTCTATGAATTCAGACTGCAGTTTCTATACTAAATATAATAACTTTAATAAAATATGTTGAAACTATCTAAAAATAAAACTCAAGCCTTGTTTTGACATCTAAATTAATCATTTGAAATTTGAACTGTGACTAAAACGTAATATTAATTCTTTATTATGTGAATTGTGGCTTAAACAGAAACCTGTTGTTCTCCATGTACCTGTGCTGTTGCAGTCTTTAATTCTTTATTTGACTGAACTGTAGCTAAAACAGAAATCTTTACTTTTCTATGGGTTTGAATTGTAGCTAAACCAATAGGCTTTGATGGTCGATGGATGTGAGCTATTGCTAAAACAGAAACATAGTTTTTATGGTTCTGAAGTGTAACTTATCCAGAAGTACTTAGGTCTTTATGGAATTGATGTCATTAATTCTTCATGGATGTAGTTAAAACAGTAGTCTTTAGTTGTTTCCGAGCCTGTGTCGTTGTTAAAATAAAATCTTTATTTTTCAGATGTTTGAACTGTAACAGACATAGTTTTTATTCTCCATGTGATAGAACAGACATATTTATTTATTTAAGGCTCTGAACTGTGGCTAATACAGTAATAATAAAATGATTTAACGATGATAGTTACCGCATTTGATGCCAAAAAAACGTGGAAGTTTTCTTTTATGCAAAGTTGAGAATAATTCATAAACTTACTGCTAGGAGACGCCATGCTGCTTCCACGGTGTCGAATCATCTTTATTGCCCCCGTGTACCAAATGTAAAAAGGAACTTCCACAGAGAGCTTTTTTTCCATAAAACCTACAACTTTTTTTGAACAGGCTCTCGGGCAGTTGCTTTCTGAACACTTGAATCTTGACCCCTTCAAGTCACGGGTCAATCGTCATCTAACTTCCTTATCTTCATAATCTCCATTTCCTGTTATCTTCTCTTTTATTCCTCTCAGACAACTTATTCATCATCAGCATTTTCATTGTCCCCTCTACCTTAACTGGCTCTTGAGCCTTGTATTAGGTGAAATTTAGTAAAAACAAGCATGATTTCAGACATTTTTATATTACCTATCCTCCGTTTCATCTCAATTCATTTCTGATATGTTATAATTTCTGAAGCTGTACAGAGCAAATATCGTATATGTATAGTATAATCCATTTTTTAAGCAATTCACCCTCAAGCAGGGTAGGAGTGCCATTATCATGAAAAGGGTAACAGAGGATTGAGAACAAGTGTAAAGAGGTGTGGCTAAGGATAGGATACGGAGAAGGACGGGGAACAAGATCATGGTATCAGAAGATGTCGATTGACATTACACTTAAATATTTGAACATCATAGTTATCAGGGAAGCAAGCAAGGGGAAGGGTGTTCCACGGACGGGAAGTTTGAGATAAGAAGCTGTTTGAGTAGAAGAGATGCTTACATTTAACCGTTTCGACAGTGAAAGGTTGGGACCGAGATGCCAACTTAGTAGCTCGCTTAAATTCATGCAGTCTGGGAACCAGCGAAAGTAGCTCGTCGGAGCAGTTGCCATAAAATTACTTGTAGAAAAGACAGAGGGAAGCCACAGCACGTCTGTGAAAAAGTGACTGTAGACGGGATGCCAAATCAGGACCAATCACGTTGCATATCCGTCTCTGGATTTTGTCGAGGATCTCGAGATGAGCAGCAGGAGCACCAGACCATATATGGTAGCAGTCTTCCATGCAAGGATGAATGGTTGATTTGTAGATTTGAAGGATGGACTCAGGCTAGAAAAACCTTCTGGCGTGACACAGAGAATCAACTTTCCTTGTGATAGATGATAGATCCAATGTAGTAGTTCCACTTCAGGTCAGTGGACAGCGTGAGACCAAGCAGGTGTAACGAGGCGCTCTCGAAGAGTTGAGCATCAGCCATTTTGATGGGAGGCAAGGAGGGTTCTCTGTAGTGGGTAAAAGAGGGCAGTTGCGTTTTCAAGGCATTGAAGTTTACAAGCCCCAGTCAACCACAGATTGAAGGTCCTTTTCGAGCACATCGGCCATGTTAGCTTTGTCAAAGATACCAGAATTTCTATTGTGGCAGGACTAAATAGTTGTGTTGTTTAGGACGACCTTCATTTCTCTGTTTGACAGGAATGATTGAATTAAGTCAAATAACCATCCAGTAATACCATATCCCTGAAGCTTACGAAGAACATGTGAGTGTTTTGCATTCGAAATTTTTGGAAGCATTTGTAGGTTTTCAATACGTTTTAATCAGACTTTGACTCAAAGTTCTTTGTCTTCATCTTTCTAAAAAATTCTAGAATTTGCTTAAAAGCAAACCATATTTTACATTAAATGTTAACTCTGCTAAAGGCCCTAAAACAAATTATGCCTTCCGTTTAAGGAAAGGGTCAGCAACCTACGGCCAACGGGCCGGATCCGGTCCGTGAAGGCATTTTGACCGGTCCGCGAGCCTGATTACCAATGACTATTTTTAATATGAGAGACGAGGCTTTCTGCTAGCTATCTTTCATGAGGCTTATTTTACCAAGTTGCGTTGCCTACGTTTAATGTCAAATAATGGATACATATTTGTTATGACCCTTGGCTGCATTAAAAGATAACAGAAGCGAAAGGAACGATAAAGGGAAAGAGGCCAGGGAGGGACTGACATGCGAGGTAGCAGAAATCTAAAGACAGTTAAACATACACGCATTATACATACATGCCTCATGAATGTGTGGATGATACCGCATGTGTACGTACGTAATTGTATATGTTTGCAACTATTTTTACTCGTATGTATGGGTATATGTACTTCGTTTTTGTTTGATGTGTGTGTGTGTGTGTGTGTGTGGTTCGTTTGTGGAACAATTTTCAATAACAGTTTCAAACCTACACGTCATAATTTCATCCATTTCACTTCGGTTGATTTTTTTCACTTTGAAGTATTTTGACGTTCCTTGAAGAAAAGTAATTTTTGTTAGGTGTTTTTTTTTTATTTTAGATTTTCTTTTGTTTTTCGGATTTCTCAATGTTTATTTTCATTATGGTTTTAAATATTTAGGTTGACAGGGGTTTGCAGATGTAATTTTCCTTAATTTTTCATTAATGGCCTTCGTCCGGCCCGCGACCCGTCACGATCCGGCCCGCGGGGTCGAATGAGTTGCAGACCCCTGGTTTAAGACAATCAGTAAACAGGGTATACACTGTATTAACATATATATATATATATATATATACAGAGAGAGAGAAACGAACTTAAACACTCTTCGTAGGAATCGTTTCAAGTTTGTTTTTGTATTTTTTTTATTTTTAATGTTGACAAAATCCAAAGAAAGATCTGTAATATAATCGATCCTGACCAAGCATCTCGATTTCAGTCACTTTCTTACCGACATGCGTTGCTTTCCTCTGTCTTTTCTACAAATATTTTCATGGCTACTTCTCTGATAAGCTTTTTCCTCTGGTGCCCCGACTAAACGAATATAAGCGTACTACTAGATTGGTATCCAGGTCCCTCTCGTCTATTGTTTGAATAGCTAAATACAACCGTTATTTCTACTCCAAGAGTTTATTTTTTCGCACTTGCCGCCTGTGGAACCCCCTCCCATTTACTTGCTTCCCTGATAACTACAATCTTCAAAAATTTGAATTCAACATCAATCGTCGTCTTCTATCTTCTTGAATCCTGTTCATCTTTTGTCCTTTCCTCAATCTTCCTTATTTCACTTTCACTCCCTGTAACTCACTGCGTACTAGTAGCATTCCCGCCTTGATTGGGGTGAAATGATTAAAAAAATCGATCGGTCTATGATAATCACTGTAGCGATTATATTGACTCATTTACTAGGTCAGCTGCTAAGAAGATTAGGTTACCGTGTCATGCAGACCAGTTTTTCTCATCGGAATCCATTTGTCACAGTTATAAATTTACGACTCAACTGTGCATTAAATATGACTACCATATATGGTCTGGTACGCTTGAGATTCGCGACAAAATTCAAAGAAACATCCGTAATGTTATCGATCCTTACCTGTCATCTTTAGGTCAAGATCAGAGATAGACATTGTCATATTATGCGCTGTCCTCTTAGGTACCTCGACCGCATGTATTTAAGCGTATTACTCGATTGCTAAATAGGTCTCATCGTTTTATTGTTTAATTAGCTAGACATAACCGTAAGTTCTATTCTAATAGTTTCTTTTCTCGCACTTCTCACCCGTGGAACTCTATTCCGTCTTCTTGCTTCCCTACCAACCACAATCATCAAAAATTTACATGCAACGTCAATCACCATCTTCTGTATTTCGGAATTCTTTTCTTATATTGTCCTTTCTGCTCAATAATTTTTTTTTCATTCTCTGCCATTCCCAGCAACCACGTACGTTTTTGTGGTTTTATACACTTGCTTGAGGTGAATTGATAAAAAAAAAAGTATTTTAATAAACATGCTAAGACAAAAATAAAGCTTAATTTAAACCTTATTTATTATTATTTAACCTCATTTATTATTATTATTATTATTATTATTATTATTATTATTATTATTATTATTCGGCTTTAGTCGAGATTATAGAGTCCAAAGCCCCAGTACCTCAGTTAACTACGTCTCAATAACGTTTTTAGTGACTGCATAGTATGTACCTAGCCACGTCTACAAATTGGTTTTAAATTTATATTTTTCCTTCTCCTAAACTGGTTGCCTAGTAAGGCTAGAGAACCCAGTCAGTCCTGCTATTTACCCCCAAACAGGTTGAGAATAGATGGATTCCTACATTTCTGAAGGGTATTTATGCAAAAGTGTATATAAAGAACTCGACCAGAATTCGAACTCTATAATTACAGAAGAACCTTACAGGTATTTCAAAAAAAATTGTACAGTGTAACCCGGATATAAGAGAAACCCGGATATAAGAGAGATTTTCTCTGGTCCCAAATTAGAGCCTGTGTTAATGTATATAAAATAGACCAAACCCGGATATAAGAGAAACCCGGATATAAGAGACTTCTTCTCCGGTCCCGACAACTCTCTTATATCCGGGTTACACTGTACGAACTGTTGATACTTAGAAGCTTTTCCAATGTTTTACAAACCGAAAGACCCTCCGCCCCACCCCACATTACGCTGTGTTCTGGCACGTACATCCATCGGTAATACTTATTTATTTACTTATTTATGCTTTCGTATGTATCGGGTTCGATTAATATGTGCCACAGATTGTATGAGACTAAATTAGCGAGGAAGTAATGTCTTTTCTTTTCTTTTTTTTTTTTTTTTTTTTTTCATCTCGGTTTGAAATCGAAACAGTTTCTACGCAAGAGCCATATAACTTTCTTTTTTTTTCTGTTTTACATATGCTTTAATAAGCATGTTGCTACTCTGAAAATAATTTTATTTCGTGGAAAATTAAAACAGTTTGTCATCACAATTTGGGCCTGTGGGTTGCCATGAAGATATTTAAATATCTAGGAAGTGTTTTAACAAAGGATAGAAAATTTGACACCAAAATACGAAGGTGTATTGGAATAACGAAAGATGCCTTGCAAAAGCTATGCAAACTATTAAGAAACAGGAAAATGTCGTTGCTGGACAATCTCCTCAGAGATGAAGAAGAAACTTGATGCAATAGAAATTGGTTCTACAACCATTGATGAATATACAGAGTAGAATAGATAGATAGATAGATAGATAGATAGATAGATAGATAGATAGATAGATAGATAGATATGAAGAAATAGATAAAAAATGAATAATAATGAATGAATGAATGAATGAATGAATAATCTAAGATAGATAGATAGATAGATAGATAGATAGATAGATAAAGTTAAGAAACAAACAAATCGACCAAGATAAATAGATAGATATGAAGAAAGAAAGAAAGAAAGAAAGAAAGAAAGAAAGAAAGTAATATTAGTACTAGTATATGGTAGTTAAGTCTGGAAACATCCCTCGAAGATGAAGACTCGAAACGACAACAGTGTAGTTCTATAGACAGATGCTGAGAATATCAAAAATCAAACATGTGACCAAAATGGAAGATCTAAAGAAAACGGCACTAGAATAACATTAATGTATAAATAAAAAAGGATCTGTTAAAATTTCTAGGGCATATTGTAAGCAAATACGGCTTATGATATTTAACATTCACATAACATTTTGAAGGGAGGACAGACGGTAAGGAAACATTGAATAACTTACCTAATGGATGGATGGCATAGCAGGACAAAGAGAGATAGTAAAAAGCCAGAAGTTGCTTAGAGAAAAAAGGGACAGGAAATTGTGGAAAGCTATGATCGTCCACATCCTAAAAGGATATGGCATATAAAAGAAAAAGAATGACGTCAATATGGGAATGAGACTCATTTTTGTGGTTTTTGCTAGCTTCTTTTAGTTGTAACTTTGCAAAAACAGCCACAGACCAGGCACCTGCTCTTTTTTTGACAAAGCAGCCACGTAAGGTTTGGGCGCCATGTCTGTCTGGCGTTAATTGGAAATAACAAAATGAATAAAACAAAACAAGATTATCACTTTTACGTCACTTTTTTCTACCATTTCTGAATGCCCACTCGCTACTCAACGCAACTTGCCACATGAAAGGGTCAACGATGCGTCACAATAGATGATAAAAACAATAAGAATAAATAAAGTAAATATTAAAAGAACCAGGGGCAATAGTTTCGACGTTATACTCATTAAAGAAAGCTAATCCGCAGGTAAAATTACCTCCCTTGATGTCACTTTATTCCACCCAACTCCCACTGCGCGACGAAAAATCGGTTTTGCGAAACGCGTCCGGCTTGGTGGACATGCGCACTCAATCAATCCATTTAGTGCGACTGATGAAATAAAAGCCTATTATTATGAAGTATTCTCATTATGAAGCCTATATGGAAATCATTATTGGATAAAAATTCACTTTTTTCTCCGAACAATAGCCTGGCTCTAGAAATTACAACAATGCATAATATATTGAAATTTAGCTTTATATGCACGGTAGTCAGTCAGAAGCCTTTTGTATGTACGGTAATCAAGCTGATGCATTTTATTTGCACAATAATCAATCAGATGCAATTTTATTTGCATGGTAATCAGTCAAATGCATTTTATTTGCATAGTAATCAGTCAGATGCATTTTAATTCCACGGTAATCAGGCGGATGCATTTTATTTGCATAGTAATCAGTCAGATGCATTTTTTGCACGGTAATCAGTCAGATGCATTTTATTTGCATAGCACGTCTACAAATTGGTTTTAAATCAGTCAGATGCACCTTATTTGCATAGTAATCAGTCAGAACATTTTATTTGCACAATAATAATTCAAATGAATTTTACTTACACATTAATCAGTCAGATGCATTTTATTTACACATTAATCAGTGAGATATTTGCACCGTAATCTGTCTGATGCATTTTATTTTCGCATTAATCAGACAGATACATTTTATATACACAGTAATCAGTCAGGTGTATTTTACTGTATGCAGATAAAATGTATTTTATCTGCATGTCGTTGTTTCAAATGCATTTTATTTACACATTTAACGTCAGATGCATTTTGCTTACACGATATAATCTCAAATACCTTTTCTCTGAAAAAATACCACAATTTCTGTCTTTTTGATCGTTTCTTTCAGTCTCTGACGAAGCTTTTAAAAAAAAGTGAAACATGTTACATTGATAAGCATTTCCTATTTGTTCTTTTATCTTATCGTATATATATATATATATATATATATATATATATATATATATATATATATATATATATATATTGCATATATTGGAAAAATTTTCTAAATCATTTCATGATGTATAAAAAAAAAATTCGATATCGTTTTCCTATATATAGGAAAACGATATCGACATTTTATTTTTTATACATCATGAAATGATTTAGAAAATGATTTTCCAATATATGCAATATATATATATATATATATATATATATATATATATATATATATATATAAAAAAACCTAAAAGTATTGGTAAAACCAACACAAAGCATGCCAGATGACCAATATATATATATATATATATATATATATAGAGAGAGAGAGAGAGAGAGAGAGAGAGAGAGAGAGAAAGAGATCACGAGAACAAAAGAAAAATATTTTTGAAAATTCATACAAAAGTCTTCTTAAAATTACGCAGTTTCTAATTTTCTAGCAAATCTTTTTTTATTTACACGCGGAATATTGTACCCATCTTTGTCGCTGACACAATGTTTCGGTTGATTGTTGATTCACGTTACCGATAGGAAATTTTGAATTGAACCTTTTATTTAATCTACGTTGTTAAACTGTTTCCATTCCACTGACCATGTCTAGGGAAATCACATCCACTTCTTATTTAATACTACTCAGTTATTGCTTGCCTCGTTTCCGCCGGGTCCAAGTACGCACTGACCAACTTAGGGACTGAATTGAGCAATTTCTATGTTACCAAATTCATGAATCTGAGTGGAGGACTTGGAGCCTTAAACCTAACCTGACTGCTGTTGTGTACTGCTGCTGCATCTGTTGAAGGCTAGTTATCATCCTGTATAGAAGAAGTAAAAATACTGAACTGAGAAGGACACTAGACTGTCGGACGCGTGAAAGAGTGTATATTCTAGGTTATACGGACCTCCTTCGGATTAGACGAGATATCCCTAGTCATGGAAAACGGTAGCAGAACGGTCTAGCACAGTAGAATAAATAAAAGATTCAGTGCAAAATTCCATGACGTTTACCCAGATCAACAATCACATTGACCGAAACGTTGTGTTAATAACAACAACAAAGATGGAGATAGTAGCCCGCGTAGAAACAACATAAATAATGATAACTCCTCATGATAATTAATGATAATTTAGACAGAAATTTCGGATATTCTAGTGCAGACAAATGATGAAAAAGTAAGATGCAGAAGTGTAAACTTTTTTTTTGATCATTCCACCCCCAAGCAAGGTAATAAAGCTATTAAGACGCACGGTGGGGGTTACTGGGTGTGATATAATATGAGAAAAAAAAAACATCATAATGGAGAGAGAAAAAGAAAAAGAAAATAACGATTGACATTGCATTTAAATTTTTGCAGATCAAATTTGACTGGGAAGCATCAATCCGGAAGAGAATTCCACAGGCAAGAAGTGCGAGAGAAGAAACTGTTAGCATAGAAGTTACGGTTACATCTAGCCAGTTCAACTGTAAAATGATGAGACCATGCCGCCAGTCTTGCCGCGCTTAGATTTATAAAGTCTAGGTTCCATAGAGGAAATTTCCTAGTTTATAGAAATGAAGCTACATTACAGCGTTGGGAAAGTGACTGGAGCCAAGATGCTAGGTCAGGTCCGATAACATAGCAGATTCTTCCTTGGATTTTATCTAGAATCACTAAATATATAGCAAAACTGGATCATATGTGACAGCAATATTCAACATTCATAAGATAAATTTTGTTGAGAAAAATTGTCTAGCGCAAAACAGGGAACCAACTTTCTTAGCAGTAGACCTCGCAAATGATTCAATATAATTGCATATGGTACGACATATTGCACGTGTGTGTGTTTGTGTGTTAGGCCATGATTCTTACACTCTTCCAACATTAAGTTATCTGTGTCTATTTACATAAAAGAGGTACGCTTGCATGCGTTTTCATCGGGAGTGAAATTGTATGGTGAAATCCACTCCAAATCAATACGCACCTGCATCGGTCCATGCGCGTGCAAGAAAGACATTAATCAATTATCAACCTCTATATATATATATATATATATATATATATATATATATATATACAAAAAATATATATATGTGAAAATATAGCAAATATCGATGAAGAGAAATAAACGCAGTTGTTCAGTTTTCGTTTTTCTTTCATCGCCCATTTGTGAACAAGCGTTGAAGTTCCGTTCTACAATGTACTGCCAGGATTTAATTGTTACGTCAGGGTCGTGTGCACGTCAGGTAACAAGCTGACTTACTTTTTACAGCCATTGTTTCGTAACCAACCGCGGCCATAAGTCGCAATCTTTCCAGCCACTAAATCAGGGGAAAATTAGCTTGCAATAACAGCAATTAGAATAAATTCTGTCAAATATTTCACATTAATTAAGAAAATTGTTTTCGTTCTTTTTTTTTTTCTTTTTTCTTTTTTCTTTCGTCTTTGTTGTATTTTCTTTTCACAGTTTGGGGTTTTCGATTCTATCAGGCTTTAAAGCATTTGATCCTATTAGGCATTTACACAACACAACAGGTAGAAAACTGCATAACGTGAAAAAAACAATAATAAAAAAAAACAATTTAGAATGACTTATTTGTCTTTATTTTGCTTCCAGAGACTTTCCCTGGGATCAACGAGTAAAACGATATCTTTAATTTGAAATACCCTTGTTGATGTCATGAATAGATTCTAAAATCGTTCATTTTACAGGAAGGACGAAATTTATTTCTCTTTATTTTTAGAATAGACATTTTTATGCTTTTGTTCATTTCTTGAAACGTTTATTTATTTACTTGTTTTAATTCAAAGAGTTGGTTTTCATTTTTATGCAATATTTTATTACTCTACTTCCTGTTATTTATGATACGACAAAGAATAACCAGTTCAGCTGTAATTTCATTTACAGTAGCTCAGTTAATTCGTTAAATCGTGTCGTTGGACGCATCAAAATTAAAATAACAATATACAGAGAGAGAATAGCGCAGATCAACAAGTATACATGGCAATATTTGTCACAGAGTTTTGTTTTAATATATTCAATGTCGCTAAACAAAGTATTAAGAAAGAGGGCAAATTCGTTAGGAACAAAGAAAAGTGTACTGGACTGCCAGTGAATGGTAGATTTCTTTCAAGAAGAGGAGGACACTTGAGGCAGCAGACACGTGGTTCTGCTGCTGAGAATACAATGGACAGAACGTGAGCACAACAATGAAGTTTTAAGGGAAGTGGAAACAAAACGGAAGATATTTAGAATCAGAGAGAGAGAGTCGAAATTTCTAGGATACATAATGGAGGGCTTGGAGAATTTGACACACACGGCAGATATTGAAAGCAAGAGGGGCAGAAAGAAAATAGTACCTAAGTAACGCGTTTGTGTGATTGAATGGCAGAATAGGGAGATGGGATAGTTAAAAGATAAACTTTGCTAAAAGTTACAAAAAATAGGAAGTTGGGGAGAGCTATGTTCTCCCATATCCTGAAAGAAGACGGTAAATAAAAGAAGATTCTTTTAATTAATTGTCGAAGAATGACTGTGTTAGATAGTTCAACTGTACTGCTAAATAGTAAGGTTATGACTGCTGTTGTTGCTGCTGGTGCTGTTGCTGACGTCATGCTTATACAACTTTAACGCAAAGCATAAAAAAGAGAGAGATTATTATTTGGATATCGATATCGATCAATTGATATACGCGATCGTCTACAAAACAGTGTGGGATTAGTACGATCCCTCTTGCACATATGACTGGATTACTAGTGAAACATAATTGGAGATCAAGTAGATCTGAGTTCAGCCATTTAAAATGTGTCAGTATTGGGAACTCAGCAATTCAATATATCAAAGTAAAACAGCTCAGAGCACAAATAGAAATCATCACTTCTAGTCTGAAAGGAGCAGCTACTACCTAACCTGGATTATATTCAGTCTTAGTATAGAATAATCTTTTAATGGCGACATTTTGGTAAATAAAGTACATTATGTAAGCGTCAGTTTCGGCACTTCGACGTGATGTAATGGTTAACAAGTTTGTCTCACTGGATCAATATTTTTAATCATTTCACCCCAAGCAAGGAGGGAATCCCACTAGTACACAGACGGTTACAGAGACAAAGTGAGAGAAAAGACTGAGTATAGGGGGAGGATTGAGGAAAGGCCAAAAGATGAACTGAATTCAAGAAGATAGAAGATGGCGATTGACACTGAATTTAAATTTTTGAAGATTGTAGTTACCAGGGAAGCAAGTAAAGAGAAGGGAGTTCAGGGAAGTGCGAGAAAATAAATTGTTGGAGTAGAAATGACGGTTGCATTTAGTTATTTCAACAGTAAACTGGTCCTCCATGCCAATCTAGTAGCACACTTAAATTCATTTAGTCGGGCCATCATGGAAAAAATTACGACTGAATAATGAGTTCGATCCTTACTGGGTGCCCCATACTTTCGACCTTGTGCCTCATCTAAGCTATGCTTAGTAAATCGCTATATGATCGTTAGTTTCACCATTTATTTTTAAACTTTGCTTCTCCTTTAATAACGACATCTTATATTGCATATTGGAAGTAAATGTGTATTAAGTTCGTTAAGAAATATTTACCCGAACCCTCACAACATCGCTTTTACATGGGGTATACCATCATATACATATTCATATAGGCCAATGCCGACCCTACCTCTCTTAGTGCAATGAGGAAGGCGCTGTATCAGGGTTGGAATACCCGGGACCGGGCACCTTCTCGCATCTAAAATGAGAAGAGTTTAGTCCACTTCCAGCTAACAGCAAACTGTGGTGTCGAGTCGTTAAGGTCCTTTCTGTATTATATATATATATATATTTACCTAATAATTCTTTTTTCTCTCATCAAAGATATGTGAGATTAAATGTTCGCATTGCCTTTTTTTTTTCTAGATTTGTTCTTGTTTACTTATAATCCGTGCCTCATTAGTGGATTATTATTGCGGCCATAACAAAACATCGTGTACGATTAAAACTTTCTGAAAGTAATGTAAAACTGATTGGTTAAACTAACAGAGTCCCTGTCAAGTCATCATTGACAACAGAAAGAATATCGATTCTTTCATTAAATGATCTACAGGTATTTTTTAATCAATTTCACCCCAAGCATGGCAGTAAAGCCACTAATTCACAAGGGGTGGAAGAATTAGAAAAAAAAACTTTACTTAGGAGCAAGAGCAAAAGAAGAGTAATCAGGAGGACAGTAGAAAGCGATTGATATTGCATTTAAACTTTAGGGATTAAAGTTGGCAGGAAAAGCATGGGGCCGGAAGAGAGTTCCACAAGCTAGAAGTGCGAGAAAAGAAACTGTTAACATTCACCTTACGGTTACATCTAGCCAATTCAACTGTAAATTGATGAGACCTTGTTGCCAGTCTAGTACTGCACTTAATTTCAAAATCTCTAGGTACTATAGCGAAGAGCTCATCTGAACAATTACCATGAAATTATTTATAGAAAAGGCAAAGAGGTAACCTTACGGCGGTGGGAATAAACAGAAAATCAAAAATAACATAGAAGATGTGGAAGAAGGGAAAAGAAATAAAATTGACTTCAGATCACTCGTTAGTTGGTATTTACTCTGATCAGTTTAGTATTATTGGGAACAACTTCAGAAGGTGAATAGGAAGATTGCGTTGCGCCTCGCCCACAAATGGGAAGGGACTTGAAAATTATTAGCCAAAATTTTGGCTTTATACCTAGTCACGAACACCGACCACTACCAATTGTAATGGTAATGACCATAACGATGAAAATAGCCGTTTATAGACAGGAAACATTCGGTATTTCATTGGCCGAACAGTCTTACTGTCAGTTGCAAATTATAAACTCTTTTTTTATAAGAACAGTTTTTTGTGGTTTTTGGGGGGTTTCTTTTTTAGATCAGATTTCTCAATTCCGCTAAGTATTATCATTTGTTCTAGTTTTTTTTTTTTTTTTTTTTGTGAGAATTTCCAAACCTGTAGTGGATAGTTAACAACTTGGCTATATCATTATGTTTTCTTCTGATTATATGCGCAACCCATTTTTTCGTTGCCGCACTTGGAAGTGTTTGAGTGATGTATTTTTTTTTATTTGGTAAAATTCTTTTTGTGGTTTCCTAGCGCCAATTTATAGGGTCAGATAAAGTCAATCGTTAATGTTAATTAATCATTTGGTCTTTTTCTTGATCAATTTTCTACAAGCACCAAGAAATTAATTCGTAGACTTGAAAGAATTAAACTAAAATAAATAGATATAATACGTCTAACAAGCATTACTTAAAGCTACAAATAGTAAGAAGTTGTGGAGAGCCATTATCGTCAACGATCTGAAAAGGTAGATTAAAACAAGGAGTAACCTTCCTAACGAGATTGTGTAAATAGATGGCATAATAAGGACTAGTGGGGATAATAAAGAAAGTCATTTTTCAGTTATACGACTACATATTTTAGACGAACCCTATTACCTATATAAAAGCCAGATGTAGAAAAAACTGACCATGTAGCTGTTAGTATAGAATAATTAAAATTTTAACATTTTATATTTATTAATTAAATAAATCTAATCTATGTAGTCGCTTAAAATTGCACAACTCCTCACTATCATTATATTTAGTCGTAGAACTGAAAAGTGGCGGATTGTTTTCTTTAAGACCTCATGGATTCATTCGTTGGACGCCATTTTTAATTCTTGATTTAAGAATGACCTAATTATACAAGCAAGGAATCAATGGTTGCAAGAAGACTAGGTCCCGTCAATCTTCCAAATGCTTTCTGTGGAAATAAGCATTCATGATCCTGAATTTTTATTTCGGCTCGAATTTTGCTCGCTGGCGTTGGTGAGTAATGCATAACGATTTAACTCGCTAAGTAAGTAATTTATTGAATTATTAATGTTGACTTGTTGTCATAAAATGATCACCAACCAGGTTTAATTTAGTATTCGTAGCATATAGTTACAGTAGTTATGAACCTAAGGAGGATTGAGCCCATTGCCATAGCGAACTGGTCGAATTGATCGACAT